GAAGGAAGGAAGGAAGGAAGGAAGGAAGGAAGGAAGGAAGGAAGGAATAGGGGGAGGAATAAAGAAAGAAATCTAAGAGCAGCTAAATGAAAGATGGATTGTGGCTACATTGTCCCTCCTTTCCCTTTTCTTGAAATGTGGTCTACTCTAAATAGTAGCCCATGGTGACATGTGTTACTCTTGTAATTTCATTAGCCTTAATTGAATAATAACCGTGGAGAATTCGGAAAGAAAGAAAAGGGAGAATCTTCCATGCTTCATACGGAGCTTGGGATTGGGTGGGAAGGGAATACATTTCTGAATACCTCGAGGAAGCACAGCCAGGCACACCTCACTGAGTCCTGCTGTCCGCACCTGCCTCATTGATGATCACTGACACACTGGTCTTAAATAAACTCCCTTTGGAAGTTCCTAAGAGGATTTCCTTCTCTGCACTGACAAAATCTATCCTTCTGATCAAAGCCTGGAATTAGGTAGGCCTTCTTCCACTGGCAACCCTTCCACGTTCCGAACTGCACTGGAAATGAGGTTCCTAGAGAATCTCTATTGCTCTTTCACGTCCCGTTCTGCTTCACTCTTAATTTCATCCCCTCCCCCTTTCCAAATGGGTGTTAAGGTCGTTAGGAGAGCTCTCTGCACAGGCCATATATACCATCTATACCAGGGGTCTCCAACCTTGGCAACTTTAAGACTTGTGGACTTCAACTCCCAGAGTTGAACTCTGGGAGTTGAAGTCCACAAGTCTTAAAGTTGCCAAGGTTGGAGACCCCTGATCTATAGGATGCCATTGTCAAGAGAGCCCTCTAGGCTGAACTAGGTTTAAAGCTTAGCTGTGCCTTTTTTTTGCTTTTTTTTTAATATATAAAAAAAACCACCTCTCCTTCCCATTTACTTTCCTTCCCACCCTCACCCCAAAATACTGCTAATGAACTTGCTCCATCAGTTTCAGAGCATACCGGGAAGACAGATGGCTGCTGTATTTATACATGTTTCCTAGGGAGCAGCATCTCTCCTCCCCTATTCACTGCCTCTTTCTCCTTTTTATTATTTGGGAGTTGTGCGATGGCATTGCTGGAGTGGGGATAGCTTAGAAGAAAGAAGAATGGGTTGTTGTTTTTGAAGTTAGTGCGAAACAAACAACAACATAAACATGGTTTCTCCCTCTCTGCTTTTCTAACTACGGGAAACACAAGAGGCATTTTCAAGAGATGCTGCTTAGAGCAGCCTACAACTAGTGCTCAGAAAGCTCTTCCTGGTTCTACTGTTCACTCTCCTCTTTCTTTCTTCTTTCTAATTGTCTAAAAAAATAATAAAACTTTTATTCATATAAAAGAGAAAATGATTGTCTCTGAATGTGGTTATTTATTTGCTTTCTATGTTATATATATATATATGAATACGTAAGGTACAAGGATCATAGTAGTGGTGGTATGCTACAGGTTCGGATTGTTTCAGCTGAAACAGTAGTAAAAAAAAGCTGACGATCACCTGAGAGGAGGGGGAAAAAAATTCCTCCACAATCAGCTCAGGGGAAAAAGAAGAGGAAAGCGCAGGATTGGCCCTCCCACCTGCCCCTGCACTTTTCTTTATCCTCTCAATTGATTGGCGCTGCAGGTTTCAGCTGGTGAGGGGAAAGCTGCGCGCCGGCGTTAGGCAAAGCACACCCACCAAGCCACGCCCACCGAACTGGTGGTAAAACAATTTGAATCTCACCACTGGATCATAGATCTTCAGGTTTTCAGGACCTTTCTCTGACCACCATTGCTGAAAATGGGCAGTGCAGTTTCCCATTCTTCTACGAGGGAAACAAGAAAACTGTAAGTTCTAAAATAGTTAAGTTTTTTTTTTAAAAAAAAAAGAACCACAGCCCTAACGCCACAAACTAAATAAAAATCCTCGACCTGCCCACCCATGTTACGTGACCCTGCTCACTTTGTATCTTTGGCCCACTCCATGTGGCCCTGTGCGTGCCACATGTCATTATTCTAATCATTCTACATTGGTTTTAAAATGCATGCTTTGTGCAACATGAAGTCCCAGCTTCCAGTTGGACCATCTTTGATTAAAAGAATCAGATTGGAAATTCTGGTGGGAGGGGGGGCACTCTGCCAGAAGCTGCCAAAGAATTGTTGCCAGCCACAAGGACAAGTAGAAATAGAAAGCCACCAAAAAGATGGCCAGGAATTTATAGCACTGAAAAGCTATAATCATATTGCTCTTTTTTCAAATTCAGCACACCTACACACCACTGTCAGCAAGTTGAATTTTGTACCCATTGCTATAAGCTATTACAGTCAAGATGGAAATCAGGAGGGGGGAGGTTGTCCCATAGTGTCTTCACATCTTTTATATGGACATTTATGTATTTATCTTTACACAAAAGAAACATCTTGCAGTCTGTGTATTTCTTAGTTATGTGAATCCCAGATTTGAACTTGTACATAACATAATCCTATACAGAACTGCTAGTAAAAAAAGATGTGGGGAGGGGGTTGGATTTTTTTTTAAATTGGGGGTTAGAAAAGGGGAAAAATACAAGTTGCATTGAAAAGACATTATTTAGCTGTTGTTTCTTCAGAAGCTTAAATTTGGACTTAATTGTGATTAGAAATGGGCTGTTTATATACAACTAAGAAATGGACTGAAGGAATGTTTATGTACAATTTGCCCCTTATTGATAATTGCATTTATGGAACAGCTAATGGACCACTGTCCAGGAAATACAAACTGAATGCAAATTTGAGTATGATAGGATGGGTCCAAAACATAGAACTTTTATTAAGCAGAATTGAACCTCTTAACATGTAGAATAAATCTCCCTACTGTTAAATTTAAATAATACTTTCAGCACTGTGATTGGGTAAGCACAATTTGTTGGCAATCACAGTCTACCAACCTCATGGAGCCTTCAATTATTTTATTTTCACTCCAGTGTGTCAACTCTGAAGAACATACAAATTCCCCAGTACATAATTGGGATTAAAACAGTATGATCTGTTAAAAGAAAATAAGGTAGAAGTATTTGTGTAGAATATTTGTTTTTCCATAAGGAATCTGGGTAAATATACCCATCCATTTTCCTAAGTTTTCACCTTATTTGCAGAACACAGTTGTTTTTCTGCTGAATATCACAATGTGGACACTGATTTTGAACAGGGTTAATGGAGGAGGAAGGTTTTTCCCTTGATCTCCCTACAGTCCTTGCAGATGAGGTAACTGATTCTCCACTTCTAATTCTAACAGGGATACAAATGAATCCTGGGATAAAGAAAGATTGTAATCCTATGACTCTTGTGGTCATCATCATCATCATCATCATTTCCATGAGGTAAAATCGCAGAACCTTTAAACCAGGGGTGTTAAACTCATGTCGTCACGGTGGCATCATGTGATGTATAGGGACTTTCTCTCCCTTCGCTAAACCAGACGTGGCCAGGGCCAGCACACGATGCATCTGGCCCATGGACCAGGAGTTTGACAGCCTTGCTTTAAACCTATTCCTATCCCCTGATCCCAGGACAATCAAGGTAACTGTTTTCCTGTTGCTGATGATAACATACAGCAATCCCAACCTGAGGAAGAGTAAGCTGTAAGGCAAAGTGAGAGCAGTGGTTCATTTAAGGTAATGCTATTGACCACTGGAGTAGGGCATTACAACTTGGAAGCCCCAAATTTAGCACCACTTAAACCTGCTTTTTGAAAAATGTGAAGGCAATTCTGCCCGCTTTGCTGGCACAGTAGCATTCTCCTGCTTGCATTGCTGTCCCCTTGGAAAGGAAAGGGAAGCAAATCAGAGGTGAAATAATGTAGATGTCAGCTACTGAACTTTTCCCATTCAACCGAAAGAATGAACTTCTAGAAACTAGATGTTTCAAAAGGAATTATTTATTGAGATGAGACCATTCAAGTAGGGTTTCAAAGCAGAGTCTAATGGCTCCCAGGCATGCAGTGATAGTTAAGGGAAGTTAGGACCCCTTCCCTTATCTTGATGTGTATTTTGTCAAACAAAGAACCAACATGTTAATTCCCCCTCTCCTCCTCTGGAAACGATCTTTTGAAGCGTTCCCAGGAAGTATCTTCCAGAGTTGGAATTTTTATGGTCCCTTCTCCCCTCGCTATCTCTTCTAGAGGTGACAGGTTTCTGGGGCATCTGGCTCCAATCCTTCAGTTGTATCGTGTAGGTTATACAAATTCAATATAAGATTTAATATATTCAGGTTACATCAAAAAATGATTTCTTTACCAACTTCCCTCCCCACTTCTTCTTACTTTGAAGAATGGCAGATATAGGGATCTGGCAGTAGATAATGGGTTCAAAAGACCTCTTGTTCCCAGCTGAGTCTCTCCAAGGCAAAATAAGCCTTGCTAGGCCAGATAGTATATCTAATCTGTGACCTAGAACTCTTGTTTTAAAAAGATATTCAGCCTCAGCCAGTCACTATCAAAGATTTAAATCAACCCACATTTAAGAGCTTATGGAAAGATGCGAAAAAGTCTTCATGCATATATGCATCACACATCCTTTGGCACGCATGCAGATAGAATCAGCCCAGACAGGATAGGTTCTACCTAAGTAGTTGCTTAATCCTGTTTTCTGTGAACTCATAAATTGGCATAGTCATAAAATTTTGAATGGGAAATGATTCCTTGTTCTGCATAGAACCTAAATGCAGAATTCAATAACACGGTGATTTAAATGTCTCAAGTAAAGCTGAGTTCATTTCCTGAGGCTGTCTATTCCACTGACAAGCATCACTTTCTGTTAGGAAATTTCGCCATATATTTATCAGAGATGTAATTTACCTGCAATTTTCTTTATACACCCAGTCTCTGAAGAGACAGAGAATAAGCCAGAATCCTGAAAAGTAGTGAATATTCTTTAAGAATGGCTTGGACAATTGATTATAGAAATCCAGTCCCCAAATTCTCCAGGTCAGGTTGCCAAT